CTTCAACTTTCTGCCTTGTCTTTCTTTTTCTTTTTTTTTTTTCCTTTTTTTTTTTTTTTTTTTTTTTTTTTTTTTTAAATAGGTCTTGCTCTGTCACCCAGGCTGAGTACAGTGGTAGGATCATGGCTCACTGCAGCCTGGACGTTGCAGGCTCAAGGAATCCTCCCTCCTTAGCCTCCCAAGCAGCTGAGACTACAGGCATGAGCCACCGTGCCCAACCTCTCTTTCTTAAATAACTAGAGATTCTACTTTAGGACAAAAAATTACCATATCAGATTCTTTCTCATGCAAAATTATTCTCTTTTAAAAATCTTTCTTACGGACCAGGCACAGTGGCTCATGCCTGTAATCCCAGCACTTTTGGAGGTTGAGGCCGGCAGATCACCTGGGGTCAGGAGTTCAAGACCAGCCTAGCCAACATGGCAAAACCCCGTGTCTTCTAAAAATACAAAAATTAGCTGGGTATGGTGGCGTGCGCCTGTAATCCTAGCTACTTGGGAGGCTGAGGCAGGAGAATCATTTGAACCCGGGAGGCGGAGGTTGCAGTGAGCCGAGATCACACCGTTGCACTCCAACCTGGGTCATAGAGTGAGACTCCATCTCAAAAAAGAAAAAATGTTTCTTACCAAAACTGCATCTTCACTCCCATGACGCTCTTCATCTCTCTCTCTCTCTCTCTCTTTCTCTCTCTCTCTCTCTCTCATACTTGCTGGTTCCTTTTTATCTTGTTTCTGTTTCCTTCCTGAATCCATATTTTGAAATAACCTTAAAATTATTCCTTTCTCTCAATAAATAATACATATTTGTGCCTTTGTTTTACATGAAGGCAATTTATTAACAAAATATTTTGAGGAGTCTTGTTCACAGACAGTGACCATCGTGACCCCCTTCCTGCGAGTGCTGTCAGAGGGGATGGGGGTGACGTCCTCAATCTGCCCGATCTTCATACCGGAGCGGGCAAGGGCTCTGAGGGTCGACTGGGCCCCAGGTCCCCGGTCCTGGGTCCTATTTCCTCCTGTGGCCTGGAGTTTGATGCGTAGGGCAGTGATACCCAGCTCCTTGCACTTCTGGGCCACATCCCGGGCAGCCAACATAGCTGCATATGGCGAGGATTTGTCTCGGTCTGCCTTCACCCTCATCCCACCAGTCACACGGCATATGGTTTCTTTGCCAGAAAGATCAGTGACATGGACAGAAGTGTCACTGAAGGATGCAAAGATATGGCGGACACCAAATACATTCTCTCCTTCAGCCACCTGAGGTCCGAGGCTGATGACCTGTTCTTCCTTCTTTTCCTTCCCCTTTCGAGGTGCCATTTCTGCACATCATCTCCAGTCTCCACACCAGAAAGATTTGTGCCTTTCTTATAATTTTTCTCATAAAACACATCTTTTTGGTACACTTTATATACAGAATTATATATATTAATTAGAAGTTTAACTCTTTTTTTGAGACGGAGTCTTACTCTGTCACCCAGGCTGGAGTGCAGTGGCATGATCTCGGCTCACTGCAACCTCCACCTCCCGGATTCAAGTGATTCTCCTGTCTCAGCCTCCCCAGTAGCTGGGACTACAGGTACGTGCCACCACACCTGGCTAATGTTTGTATTTTTTTCTTTGGTAGAGACAGGGTTTTGCCTTGTTGGGCAGGCTGGTCTCGAAATCCTGACCTCTAGTGATCCACCTGCCTCAACCAAAGTGCTGGGAATCCAGGCATGAGCCACTGCACCCGGCCTAGGTTTAACTCTTGGTAATTTTAATTTCTAGCAAGCAATTTGAACGATCACATATCAGTATTTTATAGATGAGTACCATTTTGTGATTTGTAGAAACAGGTTTCTCTATAATTTTTTTTTTTTTTTTTTGAGATGAAATCTTTCTCTGTCGCCCAGGCTATAGTGCAGTGGCACAATCTTGGCTCACTGCAACCTCTGCCTCCCTGTTCAAGCGATTCTCCTGCCTCAGCCTCCCAAGTAGCTGGGATTACAGG